TGCTTGTTGTAGTAATTTAGGGAATTATGGAAATGCAGCAGGCTCAGAGTTGGACAGAGGCTTGGATTTGCTGTGTTACCCAGCCTGAAAGACTCTGCCTCTAAGCCATACCTGGGTGTGTAAATTCAGCTGCCCCTGTGCATCCAACGTTAAAACAAGTCCCCAGTTCTGAATAGGATCTTCCAGTGGTGAAAACACATTTCATTGCCCCAGTGGAATTCAAGTTGCAGTCCTGGGAAGTGTTACTGTGAGGGGAGATGGGAAAAAAGGTTTGTGGGGAGATCTTTTGTCCCACCAGCACCTTCCTTAAGTGTGTGTTGGAGGAGTTCACTTAAAATTGTCAACCAGTTCACTTTTGTATCCCATGAAAACAGAGCTTCAACTTTCTTTAGTGCAATTATTTATTAAAAACACCCAAAAAAGACAAGAAAAAAAAATTTAAAATTAATAAAATCGAGTCCCACACCCCAGAAATAGTCTGGTTCCATGTGGAAAGCCAGTTTTCCAGGCAAGCTTTTCTCAGGGACAAAGGCCACCAGAGGAAATCGGTGTTACATAAATCGGGATGTGCCGTCCTGGTCTGAATAAATTTTTAAATAATTTTGCATAAATTAAAAAAAAAAGTTAAATTATGCATGGCGTGCACGATTTCGTCCTTTTGTAAATGATGTTCCCCCAGTTAATGACTAAAGAACGTGGAGCAGCCCCTGGAGTTGGCACAGTTCGACCTTCCAGGCTCCGTCTATAGATAGATATTCCTTAAGCTCAGCGAGGGGCCGGGAGCTCGCGCTTGGCTACGATCCCTTCCCTGTTTTTGATGACTTAAGAGGGCTGTTCAGGACAGAGCATCAGCCTATATGAACACTTATCAACCAGCCTGAACAAGCCAGATTATTTAATTAGCCCTATTAGGACCCTTCTATTTTTATAACTTATTTATGAGTGTTCTTGCTAAGCTTAGAAAAGGTCTAGGCTTCAGATTGCCAAAAGACGTTTTTGGCTCGTGTGGTTAATCTGGAGGGGTTTTATATCGTGACTCCACTCCGTTCTCATCCTGAGGAGACACAGAGAGGCTCTGGAAAGCAGTTGGAGTTGGGTAATTCACTCCTGCAATCCTGACCTGCAGCTTTCAGGCACAGGGAGTTTTTGATGGCCACGCACGAGGGACGTTTGCTCGCTTGCCTCAGACCACCAAAACTCCAGAAAGAATTATTGTTGAACCACCCGTTTTTGAAGCGTTTTGGATCCCCCCCCAGGGCAGGGATGTTGCTCAGCCCCCATTTAGAGACTGCCATGCAGCGAGGGTGGTGCTCTGTGTCCAGTGCTGGTAGAACAGGCTGATGCTTGTTTGGAGCACCTGCTCAGCCACCCTTTCAGTCAGATCCACCATCTTTTCTTCTGGACTTTCTGAGAGGAGCAGGAAACAACTTGATGAAATAACTGTCAAAATTAAATCAAGCATTCATGTTCACCAAAAGAAAAAAAAAAAACAACTTCTTAAAGCAGCTGTGTCCAGAATCTGATACTGTGTCATGGTTATACCTTCAGTGTTTGAAAGGGCTCTAATGTCATCACAGGGGTGGGAATCTTACTCTGCCACCCCCCAAAATGAAATCCATTTGCAAAGAAACGAAAAAGAAAAGGTAAAATTTGCATGTCCTGAAGTCAGTGAGCTTTTGCTTCCTGACTGAACCACTCTGGGCTAGTTTGGAAGAAGCAACTCCCCGGGTATGGAGTAACTTTGTGCTTGGTTGGAAAAAAAAAAAAAAAAGTAAATCTTGCTGGTGGTAAGTCCTGGCTTGTGGCTCGAAGCTCTTGTTGTTCTGGTATCAGCAAAGAAACAGTTAATTAAACAAAGATCTGTCCCGGGGTGATGCTGAAACAGCACCTGGATTTGGAAATAAGGTTCAGGTGTTTTGAAAGCAGAGGCCATCCGTGTGAATTAGGGTTCCGTCCAAGACTATCCCAGACAAATGTGGGTTGGATAAATCCAGGCAGGTGGCATCTGCCAGCTCATGTCTGAAGATCTTATCCCGCTTCAGCTGCAGGTGAACGTGCAGAATTGCATCCTCTTAGTCAGCAGAGAAGTCTCTAGACGCGCTCTAGTGCGTTATGTCACCAGTAAATTATTTTAATAGCAAATAAGGCTTTATTACGTTTGCTCTTGCTTTATTGCATTTGCTGCTCTACATTCAATATGTACAGCATTGGCACAAGGTAGCTTGCATGCTCACCACTGCATTAGCAGGAGAAATGGAAACTGCGTTTCCAAGACCATAATACTTTGAATTTGGTACTGTTAAAGCCAGAAGAAAAACAAAAAAAACCCACCCCAAAACCCCAAATAAAATCCTAAACAAAAAACCCCCCAACAGTTGTTGCACATCAGGCTCCTGTAGAAAGCCAGGAAATAACAGCTTATAGATGAAGCGAGTTTAGTTGTGGAAGGTACCGAGATGAGACAAAAGTAATTACGGTTTCCAAAGTACCAGGGTGTTTTTGGAGGCAGCTTTCAGGTTAAGACAGAACTACGAGCAATTCAGAATAGAAACACAAATAAAAAAAGGGAAGATAATAAAGAATGTAAAACATACTTGGCACAGTGTTTGAATGTGGAGGGGGCTGATCGAGTGAACTCTGCACGCAGCTTTAGGCAGCACTGAAAAAAATTCCCCTCCTTGCTCCACCAGTAAATATTGAACAGCACACTGCAATAATGGGGAATTCGAAAATGGGAGATAAACTTAACGTGGATTAATGTTACTTTGGTGAATGTGTTGAGTAAACTGCTCAGTGCAGCAATCGGATTTGCCGGCGCGTGTACCTGTCTGACTGAGGGGCTGGAGAGCTCTGCGTGCAGAACCACCACAGGAAGGAACAGAGGCTTGAGGAGACAGGCATGACATGGAGCAGAACAGAAATGTGTATAAATATCCAAATGAAAAAATACGGAGTTCAGTTTGAAAGCAGATCTTTCACTTGCCAGAGTAATCCTGATAATTGTGCGTGTTGTGTTGTAGAACCCGAGGAAGGTCCTTGCACACGTGGATGTGCCGTTTATTTCCACTGACATCACCTGTGGTAGGAGGACAGTGGCTCCCTGACCTAGTTCCCTGGGTCCCTCCAGGATCCCTTCCGGGCTTCCACTCTTCCTGGTGGAAGGTGGAGCAGGAACAACAGGGCTGATTTGCTGCAGTTGGTTTGGATTTGCACCCTGCTGCCTCACAGGCAGAGGTGCCACATGGGAAGTCACTGTGCTCAAAGATTCTCGTGCAATTATCTCCTCAAATGCCAGCTTTTTTTATAGCCCTTTATGCGTGGCATCACCACAGATGGTCAGTACCGTGACCAGGCACCGCTGGCTGAGGTACCTCAGAGGGGAGAGTATTCACTGAGTGTTGCTTTACCCTTTCCACAACTTGGACCCAAACTGGAGAGAGGTTTCCATGTAAACAGTTTGCAAATCCAGCAGCACCTATTTAACTGTGTTACTGGAGAACTGCTGGCAGAGAACTGGTGGCTGTTGCCATTAAACCTGTCTCAGACATGAGGGGCCCCTGAATGGCTGCTCAGGCAAGGAACAGCTCCCTGCAGTCCATGTGAAGACACGGTCTGTGTGTAAGGTCAGTAGGGAAGCACAGAGCTGGAATCCTCCTGCTGGGATTCCCCCACTGCTCAAAAACTGCAGGAGGCTTTTTGGAAGGCAACAGCACCTCGGCACAGGGAGCTTGGAGAGCAGCTTCCCTGGGCACATCTGGAAAATGAGCGTGAAAAAAGCTGTGTGCTGCTGGAAGTCTCGGGTCTGTGCTGTTAGATGGATCCCTGGCAGGAGAATCATCTGCAGGCTGAAAACATCAGTCTCAGTGTTTGTCGCTGTCCTTGTCACCTTCCATCCCTTACTGCTTTTAGGGAAACAGGCCAAGCACTGCTAAAATTCTCTGACAGTTGAATTGCATGTGGCGTACATTCCTTCTTGTCCCAGACATTGTCTGAAATATTAAGTATTTTTCTCCTTATTGGCCGTTTCTGTTGAAAAAAAAGAATTACATCTCATAAGGGTTGTAACTCCACGTCTTCCTTCCCTTTCATCCTTCACACTGTTCACAGTCGTGAAAACTTGTTTTCTGAGCAGTTAATACTAAAGGAAACCTTCAAGTGTAACGCTGTCAAGCTGAACACAGTAAAAGGTGAAGCTCACGACCAGAAAAGAGTAACTTCTGAGTGGGGTTTCTTATCAGCGCACTGCAGAGGCGCAGCGCGATTTAGAACTAATTTTTCACCTTAATTCACGAATAAGACCAGTATTTTTCATAGGTACGTTACGAATGAAAAAGTGGGTATTTTATTATTTCCTTTTTTTTTTTTTTTCCCTTTAAGTTTTTTTTTTTTTCAAAGCTTGATACATGGCAGCGTTGGATCAAGGCACACACAAGACTGGCCAAAGGGCGTACAAAGCACTTTGGTTCTTTAGTTGAAGAAACAGAGTGATTATGGCAACAAAGAGCGGCTCGGGGTTTAAACATGAAATAGCTCATAGTCCAGCAGGAAGGCAGAAAGAAATACAGATTTATCAAGGAAATTTCTGGAAAACTGTGACAGTAATGGGCAGTATTCCTGACTGTAAAGGCAGTGTCCTGGACACAGACCTGTACACGCTTTGGAAGAGCTGCATTCCCAGCTGTCTGCTCACCTTTGGGACTACAGTTTTTGAGACCTTGCTTATATTGCCTTGGCTTTCATCCTGCTCTCTCTTCTCCTGAAACTGCACTTTCAGCCCTTTCTCTGTTCAGAGCAGTTTCAAAGTGTTGTCTCTCTCCCTGCCCTTTCCTCCCAAATGCCTGTGAGCATCCATCCCTGTTTTCGCTGCAATACACAGACCACTGGCTTTGATAACCAAAAATCTACGCCTAAACTCTATCTACCCCCTTGGTTTGTAGAGCCTAGCACTCTATTTTGGGGGGTTTTTTTGTTTTGTTTTTTCTTCCCCCTCTCGTTTTATAAAATTCCTTGTTAGGAATTCCACTGTTTTCTTCTAGGGATCAGTTATTTTTTATTTTCTTAACACGTGTCAAACGCTTCAGTCTCACGCATGTCATCGCCTGGATTTTTGCTTTTAAATTGGATTTCACCATTTTTGAATGGATATATATCCAGACAGCTGATATTGCCCATTACTACACACATTTTTGTTTATTGAATATTGTCGTGGTTTACAGATTTAATAGACCCAACATGGAAAGTCCGGTGAGTTTTTGCAACCACTTCTTGATCTTCCTGATTTGCCCAGGTTCAACATTATTTTATTGATACCAAAGTGAAAAATGGCCTGTGCTTACACTTACAAGGATCTCAGATGAATGTTCTGACTGCTCAACACGGCAAGAAAATTCACTTTCACAGTCAACAAGTCATCTTACTCAGTAGAACACAAAAGTTAAATGGTCTGTAACTTCAATATTAGCAAGGAAAATACAGTACAAATTACTAAAAAATACTAAAATATAGAATTGTGGTCAGGTATCCCCACTACATTAATCGCAGCAGTAGCCTGAAATTTGAAACTTTTAATAAAAAGTTCTTAAATATAAATTATATGGCAAATGTACAGTACATTGCTTTGTCAGTCTTTTAATCCAGTGTTTTGCAGTAGAACAGCAACTGTTAAGTCAGTCTTTTCTCGTTTTTCTTTTAAAAAACCAAAACAAACCCAAAAAAACCAACAAAACCCCAAGCAGTCTTTCGTGTCCCTCTCAGTATCATGAGTGTGAATGATCTGAATCTGGAATACCACTGTCTCTGTAGCTCCTGTTACTACTGCTTTCACTGTGGCTGTTCTTGTACAGGTTCATGCCGTTGGGCGGGAAAATGGTGTGTATTACAAACTCCTCCTTCGACACCTGGTCGTTGGTGATGGGTATCATCTGGAAGGACGTCTCCCTGATTTCCAGGATGGAGTTGTCCTTCTTGGTCCCCGCTTCGGCGTAGTCGTCCTTTCTCCGGCGTCCCTTGCTGTAGGCGCAGTTCCGGGAGAACAGGGAGCCGTTCCTGTGCACGTACCAGCACACCAGGGCCAGCAGCGCGATGGCCACCAGCGCCACCGCGCCGCCGATGATGGCGGCCAGGGGCAGGCTGGAGTTTTTGTAGGGTTCCTTCTCCTGCTCCCGGTTGAGGGTGGTGGTGGGGTTGTACATCTTGAGGGGGGCCGTCTCGGTCTCGATGCACTCGGGCGTCTCGTCGGAGAGATAGATGTTGCTGGTTTCCATGGGAACCATGCACACACGGTACGGCGATTCCGGCTCCAGGGCCGTCAGCAAGTAGTCGCTCCTGTCGCCCGTGACTATGGTCTCAGTTATAGATCCAAAGGCGGGGCTGTGGCCCATCTTGAGCCAGCTCAGTCTCAGAGCCGTCATCGGCAGTGCAACTTTCCAGGAGATGTGGATGGTCTCCGTGCTGACGGATTTCACAAAGATGGTGATGATTTTGCGTACCGGGCTCGCCGTGGTTCTGTAGTTTTTGTTCAGGTTGGGAGTCTTGACGTCGGGTTGTTTGGTCACGGACACCGGCCAGTGGCCCTGGGCCGGGTACAGCGTGTTGGGGACCGTGGTGGTGATCGGGATGGTGCTGATGGCGCCGTCGTCCTTACAGTCAAACAGCTCCGCGCTCAGGTCCTTGATGGCCATCCCGCGCACTTTCTCGGGCGCCTGGCACATCAGCCCGCGCACGTTCACTTTCAGGGGCAGCGACTGCAACCAGTCCCGCACCCACTTCATCTTGCACCCGCAGTGCCAGGGGTTGTTGCGCAGGAAGAGCTGGGTGATGTTGTCCAGGTCGTCGAAGACGCCCTGAGGTAAATTGCTGAGGTTGTTGTTGGACATGTCCAGTCGGTACAGCTGCCGCAGGTACGAGAAAGCGTTGGGTGGCACGCGGTTGATGTGGTTCTCTTGGAGGTAAAGCTTCCTCAGGTTCGTTCCCGGCAAATTGACCGGCGCCGCTGTGAGGGAGTTGCGGACCAGCGACAGCTCTGTGAGATTGACCAGATTGACAAAGACTTTATCTCCCAGTCCGTGGTTGTTCAGGAGATTTCCGTCTAAAACAAGGCGTTTTAGGTTTGTAAGGTCTTGGAGGGACAGCTCAGAAATGGTGGAAATGCGATTATCGTCCAAGCGCAGCTCTTCTATGGTTTTAGGCAAACCCCAGGGGATGGTGCTGAGGTGATTTCGGGAGAGGAAAAGGAGCCTGAGATAGATGTTGTCCCGGAAAGCTCCATCCTCGATGCTAACGGCGGAAACGGAATTATCATCCAAATGCAGTTCTTCCAGATAAGGAATTTTGGAAAGTGAATCATAAGTAATGGTCCTTATATTGTTCTCCTGCAAATGCAGTTCCTTAACATACTTAGGGAGGTTAGTGGGGAATTCATCTAGGCTGTTGTGGTATAAATATATTCTTTCCACCCTAAGCAAGTTCTTCAGTTCTGAAGGAATCCCAGCATTATTTATTTGATTGTTCTGAAGGAAGAGGGTGGTTGCATCCTCTGGGATTCCTGTAGGAATAGACGTCAAATCGCGATCATTACAATATATGAAACCCACATCACAGCGACAAACTGAAGGGCATGGCTTGGCACTAACAGAACAAGGTGCCATGTCAAGTAACAGCCCTATTTTAGTCCAAACTAGGAAGATGCTCCAGGTTACACTAATCATGGTCAGGAATGATGAGATTTGTATACAGTTCTGATCTTCAACAAATCTAAAAAAACCAAACAAACAAAATTATCCAGATCATCAGTGGAAGAAACTGCAGTGAAAAAAATTCAACATTACAGAAGATATCTGAAACACACACATACACACACACACACACACAGACATTAAACCAAAATTCAAGCTCACAGACACATTTTGCTTTCTTTTTCTTACATCAGTAATTCTACCACATCTTGTACTAATTCAATTAACTTAATAGGTTATTCTGCAAAGTGACTGAAAATAATGTAATTGAGTATGCCTGATCCGTGAGTTGTTTTGCTTAAGCAGGAAGGCTCTTCTTAAGGATTCCTTCACATTTCATGCATACAATCTTTGTTCACAGATACCAGATAAGTACAGAGTTAAGAGTCACACCAGAGTTCAAGTAAATCATTCTATATCTGAAAGATAAGAAGTAATTCCTAAGCCAGCTAACTACCCCAGGAGCCCTCGAGTGAACTATAAAACCCTTACCAAACCCACAAGTCAGCGGTAGCTATTTTGGAGGCCCCAAAGAAAAGCCCTAATGGCAAAGCAGGATGGGCAGAGCAAATAAGGAAGGGCCAGCTAAGCCCTTTTTCCCAAGGCCTTCTGAGTACTCCACGCCACGTTGTGCAACTCCCAAACCCCGTGGCCTCCTTCGCTCGGTGCTCAAGCCAGGAGTGTTTCGAAAGGTGAACGTTACGATGGGTAGAGAGCTCTGCCTTTCTGGCTGGCTGGATGAAGCATTTCATTACATGCTCAATTTCATGTTTAAATATTTGTCATTCTCAAAAGTCTTCTTTACTAGGCGGCACACTAATCAGAGACTATTTGGCGGGTTTAACCACGTTTTCCCATCTTATTAGTAGCATAATAGAAATTAACTCTTGAGACTGAGGTTGTACTTTGCATCGGTAGTGTGTTTGTACACTGAGCTCAGGTGATTAGCATTTTTATAGCTTTTAAGACAACATAATTCAATTACCATTGTAATTAGGGTTGTGAGAACTCCTGCAAGATGACCTGTGCATTAAGCAGTGTCACGACCTTTCCTCTTGTGGGTTCATATATTAATTGAACTTTATTCTCCGAGGCACGAAAAGGAAAATAAATTAATATTGATCCTACCGTATTTAAAGGTACGAGTAAGTTTTGTGCTTGAGGTTATCCAATAAAGGAATGTCTGTCTCTCCAGTCACTCTCAGGGTTTACTCCATGGAGCAGTTCTGTCCTTGGAGGTGTTTACTCAGATGGTCCCTGTTGGTGGTGTGTGTTCCCTGGCTCCTGGCACGGCGCTCAATGAGCATTCCAACCAAGATTTATCATGGTACATAAGCACACCAGGCCAGGGCGTAGAAAAGCTTCAGCTTCCCACTATGTGTGTCCTCGTGTGAAGTCTGTGAATGGAGAGCCCCTTTTGTTTGGTTTAATGCCTTTAGCAGGAGTTACTTCCTTTGTAACTCTCACAAACTCTTCTGTGCAGCCGAGCAGTCGGAGGAGGCAACTTCAGCACCCCGTGATGGAAACCATTCATTATGCTGAGGCTGGAAGGGTGGCAGCCTCTTCAGGAGGGCAGGGAAGGGTCCTTTTTCCTATCCACAACCATCCAAGTGTGACCTTTGTACAGTAGCTACATCCCAATACATCCACTCCTCTTTGGGAGAACCGTTTTCCGACTTTTGTATTTTTAAAGCTTCCTCCAGGTTTGTAAATGCGGGAAAGGATTCCTCCCGTGCTGCAGGAAGGCAAGTTACTCTACCACAGAGAAGTTAGGTGGTCTTCTTCATTAAAAAAGAAAAAAAACAAAACAAAAACCAAACACACAAGAAACTATTTCCTTCCCAGAAAACTCCCCTTGGAAAGCTTTCCTCGAACTCTTTAATTTCCTGCAAAAGTAAAAACAAAAAAAATTGGAATTAGTAACAACTTGTGGGCACTAGAACTAAGAGTTGCATCCCCTGAACCTTTGACTTGCACACCTTGTTGCCCCCAAACATTGGTATTTCAGCTAAATACAAACATATTGCTGCTTAGTCTCGTGCTGGAACTGTATTTCCCCTTGTTTCAGTAGGAAAACAAAGGCAGAGAGTAACAAAGTATTGGGAAATGATGTTTCCTACCTGCTGACCAGTGTGATGCCTCCTGGGAGGAGGCTGAAATGGTTGCTTGCTTTGTGCTCCTGGTAAATAGAGAGAAATGATGATGATCCTCTCCCTGGTTTCAAAAGTGAAAGGAGCCAATTACTGCTCAGGAGGGACGGGGTGAAAGGGGACGTGTTTTGGCTAAAGTACTGTATGAGCATTTCCCATTTTGCACCGTGCTGATTTGGAGTCAGGGACTGGCCAGGCATCTGCATCAGCTCTTTGGCAACAGAGACACATATGTGGGTTTAGTCTGTAAAATTCCAGAAAATAAGAAAATCATTATCTCTTTTGTTTGTTCATGTTTCCTAAAGAGTTCTTACTTAATTTTAACTGGGTTTTTCAACTTGGGCTTCTCCCTATCACTACTGCAGAAAGTATCCAGCGAGATAGCACTCTGTGTCCCCCGAGAGCCTGCAGGCAGCATGTTTGAAATAGAAGTGGTTAAATATGAAACTTCAAACAAAATAAAATAATCCTGAACGTTTCCTCGCTTCTCCCTTTGGTGACTGCACGTCTGTCCACAGCACAAGCCTTGGAAATGCTCGTCAGGAGCAGCGTGCTGAGTAAGCCTTGCTGTGCTGCCTCTTCCTGGGAGTAAAACTAGAGCAGCTTTTGGCCCTTCATAAAATATTCAACCCAAACACAAACAACCCAAGCTCAGTTTTTTAAAACTGCCTTTTGCCATTTGCGGCAGGTCCGTCACGAGAACGGATCAGTCCCTGCTCCTGCAGCAACAGGAAATCTGCAGGGATGCAGAATTACTGAGGTAGAGATGCTGCTGCTCTTTTTTCACAGGAAAAAACATGAACTTAAAAAAAAAAGCAAAAGCCCCACGTTTCAGAGATGGTTTGAGTGCCCAGCGAGGGAAGGGAGAAGAATCCTTTCCTGTGCTGCTGCAGCTCCTCTGAGCTTTGTTTTCTGCACCTCGTTTTCAGCCAGTTGTGCAGTGAAAAAGAGGAGCTCAGAATGAGAGACCCCCACTGTGGCATAAATATTTTAACATCGTGCTTTATCCAAGGCAAAAAACTCAGTCTGTGTGGCCACATTTTAGACTAGAAGGCAGTGCATGTTTATTGGTAACTTATGTAATTGGGGTAAATTATATAATCATTACAAAATGGAACAAAAAGCTCTGTATTCTTCCAGGGTCCCTTTTTCTCGGGCTGTGTTACTGAGGTGTTTGGGGAAAGAAGGCCAGGCCCCTATTCCTGAAACTTTGAAATAAGCAGCTGCTTAACAGCTGTAGACAAAAAAAAAAAAAGGTATCTCTTAGGACCTAATGAGAAATCGTGACAGAAGGCATTTTCTGGAAGGGCATTGTGAAGCAGGAATATAAATCCCTTGAATAGGCCTTTGAAGGCTACAGTAACTTTTAAGTACTTAAAATCATAAATTTCCTTTAGAACTCCGAGCTGTAAAAAACTTGTTAGTATTAAGTAAAAGGTTGGCTCCAGTATATGCATACATTATTACCTAGATCCATGCACACACAGAAAGTAACTTCATTTGTTTTACCTTTCTAGCACATAAACTGTTTCCTCTGTGCTCCATTTGATAGTCATCTCTTCATTTATTGCCACTATTATAATAGCAGTAATGTGGAGGATTAAAATGAAAGCACTAAAGCTCATTAAGTTCCTGGAATTTTTTTTCTTTTTTCATCCCTCCTCTCTAAAAATTACGTGAAAACAAGGGAGGGGGGGGGAAAAAGAAAAGGTCTCTTTGGAGAAGAGGACACTGTTTCAAAAATGTGGATTAAGACTATACCCCCCACTCCCTTTTCTAAACTTAGAATAGTTTTCTCCAGGTCTTGATTGTTTGATATCTCGCACTTCCCTTTTATAGCTCGAGCCAGTAGCTGAAAACAATGTTTTTGCATATCAAAGGCTCCAGTGATCTGTCTACAGAGAAGAAGGGAATCCTGCTGCCATGCTCCAACTTTCCCCTTCTTGAGCTGTCTCTAAATATTCCCTGACACCAAGTCATTAGAGCTGATCCGGGGAGGGATGAAAAGAAAAGTGACCCCCACTGGTACAGACACTGTGTCCAGGTTTCTGCACCATCAGACTGGGAGGCTTCATGGACACATGGTTTTGAAAGGAGCCATTACTTTTGAACAGAGCAGGTTTTAGAAAGTCTGGGCTAAAATCAATTTTTAAATGCAAAAAATCACCTTTTTTTTTTTTTTTTGGTAACAAAAGTAACATCAGAACAGCAGCTTTGTTTTTGTTTTTTCTTTTTTTTTTTTTTTTAGCTTATCTTTAATGACGAGTTGAATGTTTTCCTGAACTTTGCTGAACCACATGGTTAAATTACTTTTCCCGGGAGTGTGAAAGCAAGGGAATTACCAGAGATAGTGGGTGATGTGTGAGCCTTGCACGTGGACTTATCGCTTTGGCACAGCCAAGCAGGGGGGGCACCTCATTTTAAAATGTTCAAAGTAATTTGTGCTAGACAAGAAAAAAAATGTTCCTAAGAAGAACATGGCATTTATGCTGAGGTCTGGAGCCCAGCTGCACTCCCTGTCCTGTAGGCAGGCAATGGCATAACAAAATAAATAGTTTTGGTATATTTGACAAGCCGAGATACTTTTTTTTTTTTTTTCTTAAAAACGATGTCAAAGATATCTTTTCTTTCCCAGCTGTGAATAAAATCAAGACCTGCCTCACTCGAGGTCACACAAATGCTTATTTGAATTTCTAATCTACCTCTGTGTTCTCCAGCTGGAACTCTGGTAGTCCAGTGGCTCCCTTCTGACCATCAAAGTAACAGGGGGAAGGGAAACCCCTCGGTATTTTTTAGGTTATAAATAACAAAAGTGTCATTTAAAGTCACCTTTAGAATATACATACTTGACAAGCCAAACAATTTGCCTAATCAGTGTACTTCCATTCCAGAGCCGCCTCTGTATTTGTTTGGAATCTGAAATGTATCAGAAACACAAAATGTGCTTATTTTTCCAAATACTTGTGAAGTCTCCCCACTGCTTCTAATGCCACTTGTGCTTGCAAAGGTCATTGCTGCTGCTTAAACAGCTCCACCAACTTGTTTTCTTTTTCAAAAGAAGTTCCACCGTGCTAATCCGGACTTTAAAACAATGCCTATACTTTGTTTTCTTTAAGTGTATTACTCAGGGTTAGTTGACAGTGACAGCAAAATGCTTTCTAAGCACCCTGTCTAGGAGCTGCAATTTCCACGATCATCGTATTTCAGGAAGGTGCCCCAGTCTTTTGTTTGGTGCTGGGCGAGCAGGAGGTCCTCTCGCTGTCTTTTCGAGGGGGAAAGAATGCAGAGGAGTTTGTTAAAGTGAGAGTGAGCCCTGCAGTCAGGTTGTGCCTCTGCCTGTTGGTGAAATTTGGTTCATTTTAATTTTTTTTTTTTTTTTCCTGCTGGAGATGGTTTTATTTCCTTGCAAGAAAAGTTGCTCCCCTCTCTTGTGCAGTAGGAATGTAATAGGGCTTTTGCCTTTTTAGGTCTAACTCAAGTGTCTTAAAAAATGCAAATTTTTATGTGATCTTCCCTCAAACGCAAGTGAATCTGACTTTAGGAATGGATCCTGAGTGCAGGCTTGACTCCACACCTAAGATCAGCCAAACCAGTATTTGCTGTGGAGGATGGAAATGAACTCAGAGTGGTTTTCCCTTCTGAAGTTTACTTCTAAAACCCTGCCTTAGTTTTGAAGATGCTGGGTTGCGAAGACCCAGACTTTTGTTACTCTGTTCCCACTCACTCTCTTGTTTTGACTCCTCTGCTGCTGCAAAGGTTGTGTGTTAAAAAAGCACTTTGAGGGGGAGTCTTCTGCAATGGCTTTCTGCTTCGTGTTTTAGTGCTCTTTGAGTTTAGCCAATTATGGCTTCTAGGTTTTCTTTTGAGAGCTGCTGCTGAGGTAACTCACCCAGGCTTTAAATAAAAGAATAGGGAACAAATGCTGCCATTGTTTCAAGGGGGAAAAAAAAAAATCTATTTTTCCCCCTCTCTTGACAAGTTTAGGTAGAATTATACCTGATAGGGAGTTCCTGGCACAGAACCCCAGACGTGTAAAAACGTTACTCTGACACTGGATTGAGTTTCACTTAGTTTTGTTTCTTTCCCCTCTAAAACAGCTGTTTGCTCATCTCCTGATTAATAAATGCGCTCCTTTAAAATTTAGGATTCTTACAGCTCCTGAAAGGCAGAGAGCAGACTTAGTGATGATATAATATATTTACTGAGCACTTTTCCAGATTCCTGCCCTGAGTGGTGTTTGCCTGCTCATTAAAAATAAATGCGAGCAATCTCATATTAATTCTTCTGTGCATTCCTGTGCTTTGAAGTGATGAAGTGAAAAAAAAAAAAAAAAAGAAACATAAAACAAAATTAAAAACTTGAGGGCTAACTAGCCATTAGCATCCATGTTTCCTGCTGGAAGGACACAAAGATGGCCATCTCCCAGCTGAAGCCACTTCAAATAACTGCGGTGCAAAGTTCGCAAACTCCAGCACTTGCTTGGATTAGTCACCCAGCCTTACACAATGTCAGACAACTTCCAGCTACCGGTGACAGAGGAGAAATTAAAAAGAAAGGGGGGAAAAAAAAATTTAAATCCCAACAAGCCAGAAACTCATCTTTATTCGGTCCTTGCTGTAAAGTGTATCCCACTTTATTTCTGGAGATTGAAGCTCGCTGCGAGTTTACTACAGAGTTTTTTTGCCCACTGGGGGGTGGTACACGCTACAAAACCTGTGCTTTTGAAGAGCCACAAGTCAGATGTTTTTTTCTGCTGTTGTCCAGTTTTCTCTGCTTTAATTACAACAAAGTCTCCCGTGGAGAAAAACAGAGGCGGCCTCCAAAGGAGGGAATTTAAAAAAAAAAAAATAAAAAAAAATCACTCTTTCACAGAGTTTACAGAATTTCCCATGCTGATTGTATTAACTCTGCAGTATTTATCTGGTTGTTCTCCAGTTAAAATGGTATAAATGCACCAGAAAAAAAAAAAGAGAATTAGCATTTTAAATATATGCCAAGGGCTGTCAGTGTTTTCTGGTGTATCAGAGGAGCACAGAAGGCAGGAAAAAATACAGCTTTTAGAAGTGATTAAATGTGGATGGCAAAACAGAAAAGCTTGATAGCAGCATGAATAGAAGGATTAGAATAACCTCGGTATATTTTAAGGTAATTGGCTTTCTGTAAACCCAGGTATACCTTTTGTTTATGAAATATTTGAAACCTGATCTTAAACAGGGCTGTATTGTATGGGCTTGGAATAAATTAAAGGAAACTTGAGGGTGGGTTTTCTTTTGAGGGAGGGAAGGGCACTGAAACCTCTCAAGTATGACCTAATGTGTGGCATATATTGACAAGGAAAACACATACTGATCTTTCTGTTCTATGGCAAATAATTCTTGTCTTTGTGCACTTGAATTGACAAATGCATTTTTCAGTCTAATTCAAAGAAATGTTCATTAAGACGCCGTATCCCCAGGCAATAGATAGTGAGCATAATTGATGCTTCTATCTTTTTTGGGCAGTATATTTTAGACAAGGAAATTGGGGTCAGGATAATGAACTGTTTTTTTAAAGTCTGAACATTTTGAGCCTCTTCTTGCTCTGCAGAGGAAAAGTATAAACGATTTACATGGAAATGCAGAGCGTGAATCTTTTTTTTTTTTCTCCCCCCTAAGAGGCGATGAGAAAACGCATTCAGCTGCATCCGTGCTCTTTCACAGGACTGAAGATTTAATTGTAAAGTAATTCTGCATTTCGGTGTGAATCTGGTGCAGAAAATACTCCCCTGTACTCTGCGAACTGGCCAGAACTGATCCCTTGCAGAAGGGGAGCGACTTGCCCTGAGCCCAAATTAACCACCCGTCGCTAAGAGCATTCCCCGAATTAGTTAATCACAGACACTGGCCCTGGCGTTCGCAACGCTCCTCTCTCAACTTCGCCTGGATGTGCCAGGGTTGAGCTCAAACCCCTTTGCGGTCGGAGAGATTAAAATTGAGGCGACCTCAAAGAGCAGGGCTGAGCCAGAGAGGCAGCTGTCTGTGCAAGAGCTGAGCTTTTATTCACCGAGGGGATGAGCTTGGAAACTGAGCAGCAACCAAAAAAAAAAAAAAAAAAGAAAGAAAACCCAACCCAACCAACCAACCCCAAAATCACAGAGCTGTGCCTGGATGCTGAGAGCTATGGCAGATGCTGGGAGGCAGGACGGCTGCGCTGGGAAATGCAGGGAGAGAGACGCGGGCTTCGCCTGAGCAACTAAGTTGCAGCTCCTAATTGCGTTCGAGGAAATGGGTGAAAAACAAAGGTTCTGACACATCCAGCAGTCGCGAAATGGTTTTGGGGGTCAGAATCAACGTAGAGATGAATCGTGCACAGGAGCGAGAGGCGAACTAATTATTTGCGAGCCATCTATAAACGGAATTTTGCTGAGCTCCTACGAGGGCAGGCGACCACTTAATACACCGAAAGCAGCTGAAAAGTTGATTAAAACTAGGCGAGGACCTATGGAACGGCAGGGGCATTTACCAGCCAGCTCTCCTTCCCACGGAAAGTGGGGCGTCGGGGCGGGAATCGGGGCCTGTTGCATTCCTTCTTCCAGTGCAACCATTTTGTTGCCCATCTCCTCGCCCGCAGACTTTGTGGTGCGGGGGGGGTACAGCGCTGCGCAGGGGCTTTTTTCTTCTTTTTTTTTCCCCCTTTTTCTTCCCCCCCTAAATAGATGGCAGCACGCAGGGAGGGATGCGTGGAAGGAGGGATGGAAGTTTCCAAACCGGGGGAGAGATGCGGGCTGCGGGCAGGAGGGTTCCCCCCCCCCCGCCTCCCTTCCCCGTCCATCCGCGCTGCGCCGCGGGGGTCCCGCGTCGCGGGGAGCCGGCGCTGCCCTGCGGGTCCCCCCGCGCCGCGGAGGGCGCGTTCGCGGCTGCTCCTTCTGGCGAGGGGGCAGCGCCGGCACCGCACCCGCGCCGCGGGGAGCGCCCCGAGAGCGCTGCGGGCAGAGCCAGAGCCTCCGCGGGGTCCGGCAGGGCGGGCGGGCTCGCTCTGCAGCGCTGGGAAGCGGCTGGTGGGATGCGGGAGCCGCGTCCCGCCGCATCCTCTCCTCCACCTCCTTCCTCCTCCTTCTTTCTCCCTCCACCTCTGCGACCCGCGCAGCTCCCGCGGAGCGGGGAGAAAGAGCGGTGATGCCGCGCTTACCTGGGGACGGGGCGCGGGCGCGGGGCGATGCGGTGGCGGTGCTGTGCTGTGTAGCGGTGCGGTGTGAGCAGGGAGCGTGTCCCGGCGCGGTCGCTGGATCTGTGTCTGGCTCTGTCCCTGTCCCTGTCCCTGTCCCTGGAGCGGGCTCTGCGCTGCCGGCGGGGCGGCCGCGGACGGAGCCGGGCGCGCGCGCCCCTCAAGTCGCGGCGGCGGCGGCGGAGCCGCGGGGGGCGGGGCCTCGCGTCACCAACGGGGGGCGGGGCCGCAGCTGTGGGGGCGGGGCCGGGAGGGGAGGGGAGGGGAGCGGGGCGGCCGCCAGGGGGCGCGGCAGGCGGCGGCACGGCCGGGCCGAGGCGGGCTGGGGCGGCCGGGGCGCCTCAGAGGCGCGGGGGGCTCCGGGGAGCGTTCCTTCTTGACCCTCCTTGAAGTTTTGTTTCTCCTCCGCCCCCCTCCTCCCTTTTTTTAATTTTTATTCCCCCTTTTTGTCGTGGTGGTGCCGCTGTCGGCCGTGGCGGGAGCTGAGGCGGCGCCCCTTCATCCCCTCCCCTGGTTCGTCCCCCCGCGCCCGTTTCGGTGCCCGGCGTTGGGCTTGGGCTGGTGACCCTCCCCGGTTCGTCTCGTTCTCCACCGCCATTGGGTCCAGGGACCCGTGCGGGTCACGAGTTGAAAAATATTGAAAAATAGATAAATAAAAGTAAGTAAGCAAAGAAATAAATAATTAAATGTAAATAAATTCGTATATTCCCTCAGCCCCTGTAGTTGGATGACCGGGAGCGCTCCTGTCGCTCCTCTGGCGTCTCCCTGCCCATGAGGTGCTGCAGGCGGCAGCTTTGGGGTGTTGAAGGGTTTTCCTGAGACGTTTGGTCCTGTTTGGGATCAGCGGGTGGGTAAGAGCTGCCTGGTTCTGTGCTCAGCCCTGGACGGCCCTTTCTAGGAGATATCTTGTGGTGCCCGACAGGACTGAAGTTGAGGGGTGTTGGGGCCTGGCTGACGTCCTTAGGGAGTTTTTTCTTGAAAAACAAGTTTTCTGTCCTCTTAACACAACCAAAAATTACTGGTGGTCATAGGGCAAGCTAGAAAATACCTTCCCCAGGTGTTTTTTCCTAAAACCTAATTCCCTATCATTCGTGGCTTACAAGGACACAAGTAGTGTTGGCTTTGGCCAATGAAGTTGATGTTTCCATTGGGTTTTCCTTAAATTTTCCATCAGAGCGGGATTTCCTTCACGGCACTCAGCCTCTGCCTTCGTGAGCGTCCTGCTCTCTTTGTCAGCAGTGCACAGGTGATCTTGGCCACCTCCTGCATGGTTTTGACCAGTGCATTGGCCAGCACAAGGAGCCGATATCCGGGAGAAGAGAAACTCCCAAAAACTGTCTTCCCTGATCCCAGTTATCCTCCAGTTGTGCGTTTTGCTGCCATCAGAAGACAGGAGAGCTCCATTAAGTTCACAGAACACTTGACTTCCATAAATCCTATGGAAATTGCCACATAGTTGCACTTTCTGTGCAAAGTTTGAATACTTCAGTTCCTGTTGTTTGACTTTTAGGAAAAGCAAATGAAAGTATCAAACCTCATTGTTTCTCGAGAGGAATGTTAGGAATTTTTTTGATGTATTTGGCATTTAGGTGTTTGAAATGTTATATACCTGCTATCTTTCTTCGACTAATTAGAAAAAAAAAAATAATTCTGGATCGATTTTCCTTGGCAAGGAGGGAAAAGAGATTTTTTTTTTTTTCCTCTGTGTCACTTCAATTCTAATCTTTCCCTGAGGAGAGTAAGAACTAATAACAAATTGACTTCAGGTTAAGGTACAAGTGTCTGTATTGACAGTCCTGGCAGTGAGCTGTGCCCTGACCAGCTCAGGATAATCAGCTGTGTTGCATATACCTCTTAATGCATATATATAACATGTTACATGCATGCAGTGGATACATATGTACATGTATTATACAAACATGGGGAGGACTGGTACTACAGCGTGCCCAGGTCTTGCCACGTGGGACAGAACAGCGATTTGAAACGCTGCAGATATCCTGGGGATTTTTTTTTTTTCCTTTCAAATGAGATTCTTTAAAGATGAGAGCAGTGTTTTTACAAAAAAAAACGTTGTGTATTTGGTATTTCTCATGCCTGACTTAGATGCATTAGTGAACAGATTCCAGGGTTACGTCGCTGTGCCGTGTTGCTGAGCCTTAAGATAGATCTGTGGGATACTCATAAAAGATGTATATGGTCTATCTCTCAGCTTAATTCCAAGGCCAGCCCAGTGCTGATGGCATCATTTAGAAATTACGCTACGTATTCCCGGAGAATTCCAAAGGGCATGTGAGAAATAATTAGATTTTACCAGGTCACAGCTGCTCTGGAGCACTAAAAGGTCTTTAATATGCTGTAGCAGCAGATTTTTGACTGCGTTCTTTTATGTAAACTCCGTAAATATACTTCTTGAGGATGTGGGTAGCCTTTAAAATACTTTCCACAAAAAACCCCTGTTGTACATGGAGAGCTGGACCACGTTCTCCATCTTCTTCCTAAAGTGTAGAAACCCATGGCCTCTTGAATTCCAGGAGAATGGAGGAAACTCTGCTAATACGCATGGAGTTACTCATATGTTGGGAATAAAAATATGAATATTTAACACAGACGTGCTGAAGCCGAGGAATATAATGAGATATTTTAATTGAATTTCCGAGTTAAAATATTCTTTTACCTGTATTTTGTTTATAGAATTAATTAATGCTCATGACACCGAGATTAAAGTTCTCGTCAGACCTATAGGGAAATTACCTTTCGGAAGACGTGGTGATCTTGTTAACGCTTCATGGGCTGAGAGAGTTTGGAAGGTGTCGGGTGGGAAATTCAGAGTAATCACACTACATAATGCATCTCACAGAAGGTTAATGCCAGTTTATAACGCTGCACTTGGAAGGTGCTGGTAGGTCAAGGTGATAATGATGATGATTGTTTCTTTTCCCTGAGCATCCTGATGTTCTGATAAGAATCAAAGATCTGGGAACTCCCTCAGCCCAAGGTTGACCTGAATGGCTCTGGCTGTGACTCGACAGCAGTTTTGGATATACTTGGTCCTGCTGTGGATCCGGTTCCAGTCAGAAAGGTTTCCTGGCAGGACATTCACGAAATGATGAGAAACCAAACACAGTGATCGGGCGGTGAAGTTGGAGCTGAGATCACTCACCCTTGGTGCACAGGGAGAGAGCTTGTCTTCGAGCACCAAAACTGGAGCCTTGCTTCTTTGAGCTTCCCAAGGATGGATTTCTGTCAGATAAAGCTGAGAGTAATAGTTTGATATTCAATGGAATAAGCTGAAATGAACGTTAGTGGGTTTTAGCTTTAGGCTTTTATCGGGTTGTATTGATTTTTCAAAGCAAGCTGTCCCAAATCCAAGCTGGGCATTGGCTGATTTGTAGAGACATCTAAGGAAAGAGGACACTATAATATATGAACTTGGGGATGATGCATGTCCTATAAGGTTTCCTGGTATTGACTAAGTGCAGTTTCTCAGCAAACACGTATTGCATTTTATATTCGAGTTTAATCTTTAAGCCATCTGAACCATTTCAGAATTAGAATCCAATTTGGGATGTATTCCTTCCGAACGTAAATGCCTGTCAAATTCAGCTTTCAGCATTGTGTATGTACATAGGGTACCCTGTCAAAGTTGGTGCAGCAACTCTGTATCAAATGCAACAAAAATGGGAGTGCAATCATTTAGCTAGTCGAGCTAAAAAGGTATGAAGGGTCTAAAACGAAATGCTCTTTTAAAATTCACTGGGCTCAAGAGGGCTCCTTTCTTTTCCCCTGCCAGAGGAATGTGAGGGATAATAGTTGTAACTGTAGTTACTGTGTGTGTCTGTAAGGGCCAGGAGGTTACACCACTGCACCTGCATTTTGTGCCGTTCCTCTCCCTTCTCTCCGTGCTTTCTCCCTGTTCTTCTTTCCAGCTCTCCCCAAACAGCCCTCGGGGAAAAGCCCTGTCAGCTCAGAAACACCCATGATGCAACCGCATCTCTGCTTTCCCTCAGGCAGATAAACAGCTCTGCTTGTTGAGATCATGTGCTGTGGATGGCAAAGTGAAGTAACCTAATGGGGTACTTCAAACTGCCAAGCCTTTGAGTAAGGAATTTATTTTTTATCATTTACAGAACACACTGAAATGGGTAAAGAGAGCTGGGTGATGTAAAGTTCATACAAAGTGAATTTGCTCCTGACGCTTAGGGTTGATTTTCGTATTTTAGAAGGCAGTCCTCTCTATTTGTTAGGTGTCAAACCATGAAGCCACCACGACAGCATTTTTAGGAGCAGCAGAGCTAACTCCTTCTACGAGGAGCGTGGAGTTTTTTCCTTGCTTGCTTGACAAACTAAGCGGTGCTGTCAGAACAGAATAGACTTTCCGTGCGCCTGACGTGGCTTTGAAAGTGTGTTAAAGGAAGGAAAAAATAGTGTTCCGCCAAAACAACCTTGAGAACCTTCACTGAGATTGTTAGTAACGTGTAGTGTGTGCGAGGAAGAATCCTGTAAAGAAAAAAAAAGAAAAACAACAAAAAAAACCCCAAAACACCAAACTTGCTGTTCTGCCCTCAGGGTAGTTCTTACATTTGCAAATTCACATTTTTATGGATGCAGCCTATACCCGGAGCCCGAACAAAGTGGTAAATGCATTTTTACACCTGCCTCTATAAAAAGGGTTCCAGTGGTACAGAAAGACTTAAACAAATAAGAAACCTAAACCTCCTGAGATGGCACAAAGGAGAAATTCCGGTGCAATTTTGATCTGCCTTTCTTGGAGCTTTAGTTGCTGCTGATGCAACAGCTACCCAGAGCCGGCCTTTGAGGATCGAGGGATATGCAAGGAAGTGGTGACTTGGGGCTTGCTAAGAAGGGGCTTGGGGTGGATAACTCCTTTTTGTCCACGTTCCTGTTTTGCCTGTTGGTGTTGGAACTCTTTGCCTCTCCTGAGCAGACAGCAGTTTGGGCAGAATTCGTCTTTCTTGTTGCATTTCCATATGCAGTTT